CGCCCGCCCGCCGCTCTCCGCCCGCCGCCACCGGCGCCCGGCCCGCCGCCCGCGCTTCATGGCTGCGCAAGAATGGGACTGGTTCCAGCGCGAGGAGCTCATCGGGCAGATCAGCGACATCCGCGTGCAGAACCTGCAAGGTAGGGGGGCAGGCTGGGGAAGCGAGGCCCGGCCCGGCCTGACCTCGCGGGGCCACTACACCTGCCCCCACCCAGTCCCTGCGGCCCCCTGGATTTACAGAGGCCCAGGGGGTGGGGCGGCGCACATGTGCCGCGAGTGTGTGTGTGCTTGCGCGCGCGCGTGTGAAGGGTTCCTTAGGGGGACGTCGCCACCTCCCTCCAGCCACAGCTGCGACTTTGGAGAAGTTTGTACTTGGGCTCTTGGGGGCGGTGGCCCAGGTTAGGGAGGGGAGGAGAGTGTAACTACGTGTGCGTGTGCGCGTGTGCGTGTATTCCTTAGTGCACTTCCTGAGTACCTTCGAGGCCAGGGACCTTGGGTGGAGGGCGCCCCTGAAAGTTGAGCTGAGGCCAGGGGGTAACCAGAAGTGGTGGGCACCAAGGGACCTGCCCCTCCCCTTTTGGGCTGGGGACTTCATGGAGCAGAGGGGCCAGGATCTCTGCTTCCTCACCCGCCCTGGTTTAAGGGTGCACCTAGAGGTTGTCGCGGAGACCAGGAGAAAGAGAAACTCGGGGTCAGTGCAACTGACTCGGGCTGTGCCACAGAAGGCAGCTTTTATATAGCAGGACAATGCGCGCTTAGAAAGCACAGACCTCTGAAGGAAAAGTCGCCCCTGCCTCAAGTGCATTTCTGCCCGCTTTCCGTGGGGACTTTGCAGAAGCGGTCTCCTCACCCCATCTAACCGGTGTGTGGCAGTTTCTTGGTCTTGGTGCCCAGGGGACTGGAGCTTCTGGGGAGTCAGGGTTGAAGGGGTTGGAATCCAGCCAGCAGGCTGGTCCAGGTATAGAGGCTTCGCTGCTGGTCTGCCTGGAAGCCCAGTAAGGAGGCTGCAGGCTGTGGCCGGAGCTGGGGGTGGAGTGATCAGGCTTAAACATTACACCTGATAGAATGTGGCCAGGAGCGAGGACCTGTAGGCAGGGGTGAGGAGGTAACCTTCTGACAGCAGGGAGCCTCCTGGGGTGAGCACTGGGCTGCGAGTTTGCTGTGGGCTCTTCTGGCTGCTTTGTGTCAAAGGAGAAGGGTCAGACTGGGCATGTTGAAAATGATCCCTTTCGATAATTAGCTGAATTTCTGGTTCCTCTGGCTGGAGACGAGCTGATGTCCTGCGTGTTAGTTTGGGCTGTGAGTATGTGTGCTCATGTGGGCATCTGCCCATCTCAGCCCAGTGCCCAGTACTTAATGAGCACATACTAGCTGAATAGTGCTTGTTCTAACAAGTTCCTTCAGTCTTCCAGTGTCAACTCTCAGCTTAGAGGTCAGCTATTGGGGAGGGATACTCAGCAATGTGAGACTCTTTACACTATGCAGAGTGGGGACAGTTTGAGGTAGGTTCTGAAGGGTGAGGGTGAGTGAATGAGTGGGCCCCACTTAGCTCCCAGTGAGCTGACCATACTTTTAGACAAATTCAGTTACAATTTGAACACTGCTGGGCTTTGACATAGAAAACATATATTGCATACATGTGCTATCATGTATGTATTACACATGTGTATAACAAGCACACTAAAGTGTAAGCCTGACACACGTAGGTATGGGTCCACCCAGGTAATTCTCCACCCGTGTGGATGTCCTGCACCCTCAACAGTCAACTTGCCCCTCTTCCCAGCCCCAGTCAGGTCTGCCCACCGACATAACTGCTGTTTTGATTTCTGCTGCTGGTTAGTTTGGCCTCTGGAGTTGCTTGCTAGGAGGTTGAACGTGCAGTGCACCCTCTGTAGATCCCCGCCGTGCTGTGTACTATCTCTGTGCTCGTCTACCTCGGTGGCTCCTCTTTCTCGCTGAGCTCAGGTCTACCATGTGGGTGGCCCGCTATTGGGTGATCTGTCCATCTGTTGAGAGATGTTTGGGCTGTGTAGGCCAGAGGTGTCAATAACAGATGTAGGGCATCAGTGTTCCCCTTGATGCTTAATGGACACAGCCCTACCCCGTGCTTCTGTGGCTCTTAAGGCCCAGCTAAAGCTTTGAGTCCAGAAGGTGCCCTGCACCGCACTCAGAGCATCTACAAGACCAGCTGGGAGGCGCATTGAGATGATCAGGTGGGGAGCCAGCAGCGGCCTCTGAATTCAGGTGGGTGGCACTTAGGAAGGTGGGCTGAGCCCAGGCAGGTGGCTTCACAAGGTTTGCGTGCTACAGTGCAGGACATCGTGGTTGTGGTGTGGGGCAGAGTGGAGTTTCGGGAATCTAATCGTGGGGTGTGGGAGGACTCCAAACTGTGATCTGCAAGCAGCAGCTGCCATCAGGGTCAGGCAGTCCTGGTGCTTTGCGGAGAGCTTGTACTCGTCCTGGTCCTGGACTCCTGGATGGGCAGATCTGGGGTCAGTAATGAGAGATGGCCTGGAGGTTGCGGCCTCTGGGACATTACATTTCTGGGAAGAACAGTTTAGTAATAGATGTGTATCTCCCCATCTTTCTGTGAATCCGTCTGCTTAAGCTGACTCGGAGCTGTGCTGGCCTCTGCTTGCTTGCTCATGGGAGGCCTTCGCCTGTGTCTCCCTCAGCTGTGGGGCTCTGGAATCCATGCCACTGGGTTGGGATTTAGATGACACTTCCCCACCCCGCTGCAAGGAGCACTGGGGTGAAGATCTCTGAATTGTTTATAGGGATCAGGTCAGCTGGACAAGAAGCACGGCATCTCCCAGGAGGTGTGTCACTCAGTCACTGCTCCTCCTGGACCCGACACTTGCAGATGGAGGTCTCAATGATGTTTACATGCATGACCATAAAGATGTTAGGAAGCAGGGCTCTCTGGCAGGCATGGCTGTCCCTCTGGGCACAGACTGCCTGTACTACCCTCACAAGGTCCCTTGCAGGAAACGGGGGCGGCCCAAACTGGTGACCTTTTCAGAGAGGAGAAGATGGAATTGCGGGATGTCAGTGGGCTCCTCTTCCTTGGAGCCATATGGAGTGGGATTGGGGTGAGAGGCATCTGGCGAGCTGCTCTGCGCCTCACATCTGCCTGCTATGGGCAGGCAGGACAGACTCCAGTGTTCCTGAGGCCTCGGCCACTGTGCTGTCCTCTCCCTCTTTGCTGAGTGCCCCACCCATGCTGGGCTCACTGTTGCAGGGTGACAAGGGGGATGGGGCCAAGATTTAGAAGATGCTCCCGTTTACTGGGGAGCCCCTGACCCGCAGCCCTTCTCTGCTGGGCTTCACAGACACAGACGTGTGCTGAGAGCGCCACACCTTGCAGACACTGGCAGGTGAAGAGCTGGCTGTTGTCTCTATCCTTAGGGAGCATGGAGCTGTGGCGGGCACCTGGCCAGATTGGCTGCCCGGCTCTAGTAGCACAGAGGGCAGTGCCGCTTTGGGCTTTTGAGGATAGGTACTCTCATGGCCTCCCTGTGCCAGAGCGGCCAGGCCAGGCTGGGCCCGGCAGGTAGAGGTGCAGGCTGAGCAGGTGGGACACGGACTGATGTGTTCCTGGTCTGTGGCAGCGGCCTGCGCCTCCATCGTTCCTCCTGGCTGCTGCTCCCTATGCCACATTCCCACCCTGAGGCTGAGTTTGCCCAGTTCGCGGGTGGTTTGGGGCCTTGGTGACACAAAGCACGAACTGCTTAGGAACCGCGGGCCGTGGGCACATAGGTGAAGGGCTGTAAGTTACACCCGTGGCAGAGTGCTGCAAAGGCCAGGAGATGGCACATGGGACCGGACACACTTGATGACTGGATTCTGTGTGAACAGGACCAAGTCGCCGTCTTGACCTGAAGGCAGACTCTGAGCCAGGACTGTTCAGGAAGACTCCCCACTTGCCCACCTTACCTGTCCTCCATCCGCGCAGTGGCCCAGGTCCCGGAGCAGGCCCTCCTTATGCTGCTTGGACTCCGAACTGGCGGCTTTAGGCTCTGCGGTTTGCTCCACCACCCCACTTGGCCACTTACATGTGCCCCTGCTCAGCCCTTCAGCAGGTGCGTGGTCTGTGGCTGACCTGCCCAGCCTGTGAGCTGCAGCACAGTGAGGGGACCTGGGTAGCTCCTCGCTTCACCCAGCACCAATAGCATTGTGGGCCATAATGAGGAACGCGTTGGGTTGCCTTGGCCTGGCCTGATGCCCCTGTGATCTGGCTGGGGCGCTATGCCAGCTCTTGTGCCCACACGTACCCCCATGCCTTCCTTGAGTCCCTCCCCTCTCAGCTGATCATGTCCTTGTCTCTAGACCTATCCACACACTTGGGGACCTGGCCAGAGAAGGGACGAAGCCGAGGAGAGGACCTTTCTGTCCCTCCTCCCCTGGTATTTGGAGAGCATAGTGAATGCACTGGAGACTTCTGCTTAAAACTCACAAGAAAATGCGAAGCGGAGGCTCCCTGTCCCCAAGGAACTACGCACCGGGCCCTGCCCTGGGGCCCATGCCAGGTTCTTGGGGATGAATCATCATGTGTGTTCCTTCCCAGCCCTGGCAGGTCAGGCCCCAGCTCTGACTTCAGTCTGGATTGCAGGTAAAAAGCCGTGTTGGAGGCAGATCTTGCTGGGCCTTTGCCAGGTAGAGCACCGTGCAATTGAGAAGCACACACAAGACCAGGAAGCCGGGAGCCCGAGCCTGGGGCCTGCTTTTGCTGCAAACCTGCTGTGGGGTCCTAGGAAGTCCCTTTCCAAAAATGAGAGCGTTGGGCAGTTGGGGCTCATACCCAGTCCCTGGGGAGGTGACATGAGAAGTGGCAGGACCTGGGCAGAGTGTGCCCGCCCGAAGCCATCTACTCTCTAGTCCTTGGGCCCTGGGAGTGCCGGTTGCTGTGTGACTCTGGCTCTGCTGGCTGCATTCCTGGGGTCTTGTGGTTGTCAAGGGCCAAGACATGCTTCTACCTGTGGCCCTGCAGCAGCCAGGGCCCCGGCTCATGAGCTTGGCTGTGGAAGAGCACATCAGTGAGGCTGGTTTAGTCAGGCATCCGTGGTTGATCAAGCTGGTGGTGGTGAAGGGGCCCAGCAAGGTTTAGTGACTGGCCCAGGTCAGCGCAGGCGCAGCACTT